ACGTTTGTCTTACCAGGAATAATAATGCATAGTTCGCTTCTACATTTTATATAGCATATAACTGAATACAGGTATACAAGCATAGCACAAATTACAATACTATATAGCTAAAACCACTTCTCTACCCTAGCCAGCCTCGCGGCTGTCTAGGAACTCAGATGTAAGCCCTCTGGAACCTAATAGAAGTCTAACGAATTCTCACAAGTATGATAGTTTTGCAGCTGTGGGTTTTGGACGTTCAATTATCTAATTGGTCAAATATCATGTAAATAAGTATAGAGATTGGTCAAACAAGCTAAATGATGCAATCGTAATTTTCCGTCACATGTTTCTCGACACAATCTATCCTTGAACTCAGACCCTCTTTCCTGTTATTCTCACGCTATTACATAAACAATTAATTTGCGTTTTAAATAAACTCATACCATAGCTATTATACTGACAATAGAGAATAATTTGTAAAGATAAATAATGTTGTTTAACCCATCTTATTTCTCTATTCCTTGTCTATAAATTTAAAAACAATGTCGCAACGACGATAGTGCTACAGGCTTCCATCCTAGGTCCCTATAGGCGTGGGTCCAGGGTCTGCAATAACCTAGCCCCCCTACTCCGCCGGGCCTGCACTATTGGTTAGAGTCTTGTCTTAAAGACACATGACACAATAAATCATAGTCACTAGAAATGAAATGAAATGGTGTTTAAAGTCCAACTGTTCCTTAGTCACTAGGGACTGAGTGGTGTAACGGATGCACTTGTGATAATAATACTATTGATCCCATGAAACTGTACTAATTTAATCTGTATGAAATAATACATAATGATGGTTGAGTTAAAGATGCATTATGTAAGATATGAAATGAAATGGGGTTTAACATCCTACTGTTGTGCTCCTGACTACTCCTGAAGACGGGCATACAACAGACAGTGTGCTATTCGATGAGGGTAATTTTTCCCAGACAGCGGTGCTATGGCCTACTCTTATATCCAAGGGAACTGCCAAGGGAACTTTTACGTGCCAAAGTGTACACAGGTCCTAGGTTTTTCGTCCCATTCCAATGATTATACGTTGTCCATTGCCAGCCCTCTGTCCTGCATAACTGACATGTGGAACAATACCAGAAATTCACAAAGTACTTTCTCAGCCAACACATGGATTGAAAACCGAACCTTCAAGTTGGTGAACTAATATCTTACTCACTTAACCACCGTGGCTCCAATTTTGTAAAAGCTATAAATGCCTATAGCAGATCTTTATGGATTGAAAACCAGACCCCCAAGTTGGTAAGCTAACGTCATACTGTGCCACCTTGGCTCCCATTTTGTAAGAGCTAAAAATGACTATAGCAGCTCTTTATTTTGGCTTCAAATGTTATATAAATTATTTTATCACCCAATAATACATTCTACAGTAGATATCGCTTGTGTGATATATTTCATAATCTCCTAAGGAGATATCGCTTTACATGAATTTGATTGGTCAGTTGAAAAGGAACTACTTTTTTTTATTTTCAAAGAACAGTTCATTTCTTATTAAAAGTAACTTTTTTTTTTATTAAAAATGAACTATTGTTATTCAATTTACCTTGATGGAAACACTGGGTCAATATAAAGGACTTTGCAATGGTTGAATTGCTGTCAAAAAATGATGTATCACTATGCCGTAATGTTCAGTAAAAGTGAAATCTACAGCAAAGAATTATATTTATCTATTTGTGCATGTAAGAAGGGATTGGGTGATAAATAAAATCTCCTACTCGTCTTTTTTGAAGACTGGTAGGAGATTCTCTATATCTAGACATTTATTCATGTCTATCATCAACTGAGATTTAAATGGATTAAAACCGTCAAGAGATTTAAAACTTTAACGATAAAATGGATATTAGAGACCTAGCCTCGATTATCAAGTACCTTTGCTACAATAATAAAACAATCTACGTTACATCTTCAAACAGTCATAACTTCGCTCAGAATAAAGTAATATGAATGACATTTTCAGTATGTTCATCTTACATTATCTATTTTTGATCTATTAAAGCAAGAACAGTCAGCTCGTTATCTAAATCTTAAGTTACGCATCTTTAAACTTTGCACTATGTCTGATCATGTCACGGGATCAAGTACATGTTAATAGTATTAATGCATATAATAATGTAATATGAATGTATATAAACTGATTTACATTCAATCGTTTCCGTTTTTACTCTAATTTCAAATTTATGTTTGGCGAAATATGCTAGAAGTCTCAGTCAAATGGTAATCTTTATCGTCTGGTTATTCAACTCTCCCCTGATATTATTTATTGTGCATGCTCTCCAGATAAGAATATGACGTCACCGTTTGACATGACTTGTGGAATATGTTTAGCCTCGTTCTTCAAATCCCTTGTTACAAATGGCGCTGAAATGTTTATTTTGTCTTAAATATTGGATATCAGAAGCTAATTTTTTCCCAGTAAGATTACAACATCAATGTTGATTTAAATTGCCAAATAATTCGTGTTTTCAATATCGAAGACATTGGATGATACTGAGTTAGAGACTTTGCTTCTTTAAACTGGGGTTTGACTGTCAGACAGACTACCATTAGTACCATCCAACTTAACACTAATGTGTAGGAGATACTATTTTGCAATTATTCTACATTACATATGTATTACACTCGGCAAACCTCGGCAGATTCCGGTACCCTACATCTAACCTCGGCTGTATGATAGTAATTGATATGTACCTACGCCCATACATTTGGGATGCGGCTACCGGTTTACTTTAACAGGAAAACATGCCCCTTTTAGAAAAAAAGTCCCAAAATGGCGTCTTTTGTCGAGTGTGTATAACTAAACGAGCAGAGATATTGTCTCAAGGCTGCTGGTTTGATATAATTCCCTGGTATTTCCCCAAACCCAATGCCAAAATTGACGTTTCTTGATATAATACACTCTCCACAGAAATCTCCATGGGCGCAGCCATTTTTCATCCGGGACCTTTAAAATAGTTCCAATATGGCGGAATTCGTCATACAGTCGAGATTAGATCCGTAGAATCTGTCGTGGTTTGCCGAGTGATATGTATTATGGCAATCTATGACATTTTATTAATGTTATCGGATATTAGCAAATTTATCCTTTTATTTATTTATTATTACCAGTAGTCATAAAAGTGTTCAGGTGTGTCTTTACATTACAAACACTGATATTATATAATATAGATACCGGTTCATTAAAAGGTGTATAAAGTAAACAACTTTAAAGATACACTATGTATGACTCTAAATCGGCCTACTGCAAGTCTTTATTTGGATTATAAACCATTATTTAGACAGTTTTCCTTATCTATTTTTGAACTATTATAGCAAAAACAGCCAGTTGATAAAAATACAGTATACTTAGTTTAAACTCCATGAGTCAATTTTTCCACTTACTGATAGCTGATAGATGCTATACAATGCTCTTATTTCTGTAGAGTGTATTTCTTATCCAGGACCTACTCCAAATTGTAAAATTTCACTGCAAATATTTTTAATATCCCTGCCGCCTCGGACGCCCCCCCCCCCTTCCCACCTCCTCCAATGACCCAATGAAAATAAATGGGTTTTAAAATGTGATAAAAATGTAATCTGTATTGTCATACTGCATATCGGGGGTTGGATGGCCGAATGTTTAGCCCATGCACGTTGTATCAAGGTCTGTCATTGAGTCAACTGGTGTGTTGGGTCCCGAAATGATCAGAGAGAGAAATGGGGTTTAACGTCCACTCGACACAAACTAGGTCATTTTGGGAATAACATATGGTTTAATTTTATTTCAAGAATTCGCTTGCGCGTAGGGGTCTTTAGCAGTGGGAGGAAACCGGAGGACTCGGAGAAAACCCACGAGGTTGGACAGGCGACCCTACTCCTTGCCACGTACAACCAGGGATTCGAAACCACGCCAGTTGACTCAATGACAGGCTTTATGATACAGCACGCGCACGCTAACCATTCAGCCATCCAACCCCCCCGAAATGATCAAGTTTGTGTCAAGTGGACGTTAAACCCCCCATTTCTCTCTCTCACTCTTATACTGCATGTCATATAATTATGTATTTACATGTAACAAAAAAATATCTTATTTGAACATTATTCTTTTTTTACCCAATTTCCCTTTAAGTAGGGGATCACGTGGCTAAGTGGGTAAGACACTAGCTCGCTAGCCTGGAGGTCGGGTGTTCGATCCCTGCATTGGCCGAGAAAGTTCATCCAGATGTTCCGGCGTGGTTCTCCCTTGTCAGTGATGCAGGACGGAGGGGCTGACAAGGAAAGCTGTCTAGTCGTTCGGATGGGACCAAAAACCGAGGTCCTGTGTACACATTGGTGTGCACGTAAAAGATCCCTTGGCAGTTGGAATTCGATATAAGAGTAGGCCGTAGTGCCGCTGTCCGGGCAAAATTTCCCTCATAGCACACTGTATGGCGTATGCCCGTCTTCATTAGCCCAGGTTAGGAGCAGAACAGTAGGACGTTAAACCCCATTTCATTTCATTTTCATTTCCCTTTAAGTAGGTGTGTGTGTGTGTGTGGGGGGGGCTTGCACCCATAATGCAGCTGTCAGTGCATGCATTCTCCAACAGAGAGATACTGAAGACAGCCTAACCCTTCTATTATCAAATGGGTCTAAATACAAAAGGTGTCTTATATTATAAGGGTATATAAAATAGGTCATATTTATATCACACTAAATGGTGTTAATATTCCCCATTTAGTGGCACAGGTCTTTGATCTAATTAGTTTAATACACCAGGTTTAAACCAACGGCTAAGATATAGAAAATGCACAGAAAATTATAAATATTAACCTCGGACACGGTAAACGGGTGTATATTATGATGAGAGACTACCATTGAATGAAGGCTTTACACACGGGCTTCACTGTGAAACATTTCGCCGTTCAAATAAATAAATAATAGGTCTACAAATAAAAAATGTTCGGGATATACAGACAAGACATAACGTAACGTAAACTCACCTCCGATGACAGTATCCCCGTCCATGTCATTTGGGCGAAACGTTGAGGACTGTCGTTTTGACATTTTGTATCGTTCACTCGTTGGTTTTGTAGTAGAAGGCCCAGCAGCTGTATCACTATCAGTTGTAGTACTCGGTTCAACACTCGTATATTGAGCTGGCGGCGGCGCAGTTTGTGAACTGCTATAGTAATCCGGTGGTGGAGGCAAAATTGGATCGGCCGAGTTTTGTCGGTCTGGGGTAACTCTGTTTGACATTAAGGACTTGTGGTCGATCGCGCGCTATATATATAGGCTTATTTATAAACATTAGACACTTATAATTGCAGTTTAATGATGCATTTGTCACGAAGTCCATTTGTTGCCAGAACAAATGTCTTTACTGTAATTCCCACTTCCTGATCCTATGAATTAAAACCATTTATCGCTTTGACGTTAAATTTCTCGCCGTCCAATAGTTTGCGTGATTTTGTATCATCAGAAATCATAAAGGTATTTTAATCAATAGGCGCTTAGATTACTGTTTACCTTGACCACGGCGCAGGCACATTCTGCAGATAATACTCGTTGCTTGGCCCCGATAATAACAAATCCAGTGCGTAGGTCGATCAACCCGTTAATTGCACGTATCTTAAAAGTCATGAGGGACGATTTCTCAATAATAATATAATAAAATACAGGCAAGAATACAAAACCATTTTGAATTTTTTTAAAATATACTTTTTATTAATTACCCGTTGGACAGGTAGATGGCATGTGTAAACAGTATACACTATAGTAATTGTACGGGATACACGATACACGTCATAACTACAGCTATTTATAGAGGTCCCCTTTTGAGGGTGTTGTTATAAACGCTAAGAAGGAACACTGGCCAGAAAGGAGCTGTCAAGTGTATCGACAGCCCTAAATTGACAAAAAGGTGTTTGTCTACGTAAAAAGGTATCTGAAAATTCAAGCTTAGCAGCAATATGTCGTCTAAAGTGAGAGAACAAAATGTTGATGGTAAGTAAGCTAGTAATATAGTTTGATGAGTAAAGGATAATGTCATTGGCTTGTACCACATACTGCAACAGCTTATATATAGGACAATAATAATTAATGCCAATGGTCCATTAACGTAAGCAAATTATACAATGCTATTTATAAGTTATGCCATTTTACATTAATCGGCACATAGATATTATTTTGATTACTGAATTGTCAGAACCCATGCTTCTGTCGGCATTATATAATGACATTTCATACCAATTTTACTATCTTGTGTTTGTTATTTGTTTAAGATTGCCTTCCAGGGCAGAGAGCACAAATGATATTTATGTATAACATAGCCTACATGAGAACAGAAACACTACATGTTTATTTAATTCAAAAAATGACAGCAATTAAACACTACATATTATTATATTATTACAGTAGAACAAGGAATGCAATATTAATCACTGCAGGATGTTTTAATAGAGTGAGACAGGACGCTACTGTTGGGAATCGAATCTGTATACTATAGGTTCGTTCCTGGAGTTTTATGTCCACTTCCACCAATTAGGGTGATTATGTAGACAAGTAGACTATACCCCAGGCATGGAAATGAAATGAAATGAAATGGGGTTTAACGTCCTACTGTTCTGCTCCTAACCTGGGCTAATGAAGATGGGCATACGCCATACAGTGTGCTATGAGGGAAATTTTGCCCGGGCAGCGGCACTATCGCCTACTCTTATATCGAATTCCAACTGCCAAGGGATCTTTTACGTGCATTCCAATGTATACACGGGACCTTGGTTTTTCGTCTCATCCGAAGGACTAGACAGCTGTCCTTGTCAGGTCCTCCGTCCTGCATCACTGACAAGGGGGAACCACGCCGGAAATTCTGGATGAACTTTCTCGGCCAATGCAGGGATCGAACACCCGACCTCCAGGCTAGCGAGCCAGCGCCTTACCCACCTAGCCACGTGATCCCCCCCCCCCCCCCCCCGGCATGGACTCTTATACACATACTAAGTATGCCAAAGGGGATTCCCCACTATTAAGTCAGCAGGAAATAAATTTAAACTCAAGACCCCATAGTGCAGAACTATCTAGACATCCCTAGATATATGAACAATCACACACCACACCAGGCCACGCCACACCACATCTTTACATCCCTGTATAACAAGAGTAAGAAACACTATATTAATCACTAAATGATATTATAATACATGATTGCATGATTGTAAGAAACACTGCATTGATCTTCTTTTGACCGAAATATATTTACATATAACTCTTAGTCTATCCACTTATAATGGGTTTCTTCAAGTCACTCCCCCTGCACATGCATATTCATCAATTAAAAATTTCCCAAAATATAATTCCCCCAGCAACACACTTGATGCGTCCTGGAATAAAAACTTCCACTTTCGTAAAGTCTTGTCAAGTGTGTTGCTGGGGAATTATATTTTTGGATTATTTATTAAAAAGGACTGCCTCCTTCTCCCCCCACACTATCACTGAGATCCACATGGACCTGCACTGTTCCAGGGATTTGTCCACCCATTACTACTACTTGGAGTAAGAAGTTTTTTTGTCACAGTCTTGGAATTAATTAAAATATTCCCTATTCAACTCCCTAATGGACCTGATAGTGTGAAATGCTGGGTGCATGATAATCCCCATATCCCTTTCTCCCCTTAAAGAGGAACTACCAGAAATGATTTCTTTTAGATACATATTGCAGTATTTTTACAGTATACCTTGTTGGGTACAATGCTCATTTTGATTAATGTTTTTATTGTGATTTAGTTACAGTCATTTGTTTCATTATTAATAAATGACATTTGACAATTGACACCATATCAAGATGTTTTAGTTGATTCTTGGATTGAGGCACACAGATGTCCAGTTGGTGGCTTAAAGCATCATGCACAAAAACAAATGAAATGAAATGAAATGGGGTTTAACGTCCTACTGTTCTGCTTCGACTGGGCTAATGAAGACGGCGCACAAGTACAAGTACAACAAACGTGTGAACTCCTCAAATGGGAAGTGGTATAAAGCATTTAGAAAGAGTAGCAATACGCTGCCTCATCTACCCATCACTGCTTAAAAACTAAATAGCTAGAGAAGTATTTCTCCTCTTCAAGCGGGGTTTGGGGGGCTGAATGGTTAACACGTGCACGTTGAATCAGAAGGTTTGTCATTGAGTCAAGTGGCATGGAGAAGGGTCATCTGTCCGGTTTCTTCCAACTGTTAAAGACCTGTGCGTCTCTCTCTCTCGCTCTCTCTGTTAGATGTATATTTTCTTGAAAGATAAGAGACAGATAGAGAGATGTACTTAAAAAATCGGCTAGCTATGCATTATATCAAATCCCAAGTATTGCATAAGGATGTTGATAAGAAAGCCACCCTTTGCAAACATAACAAATATGTGAATAAGGCCCATTGTTATGACTTAAAAATGAAAGTAATTTATGGGAGTGTATATTACATGGTGTTATGGTGAGACTTGAGACCAGAGACTAGTGTGCGTCTGTGTATTACATGGTGAGACTGGAGACTAATGGTGGGACTGGAGACTAATGGTGATAATGGAGACTAATGTGAAACTATGTATTACATGGTGAACCTGAAGATGGCATACTATGGTGAACTGGAGACTAAATGTGAGACAGTATATTACATAGTGAAACTGGAGACTAATGTGTGACTATGTATTATATGGTGAGACTGGAGACTGATGTGGGGGGTTGGGTGGCTGAATGGTTAGCACGTGCGCGCTGTACCATAAAGCCTGTCATTGAGTCAACTGGCGTGGTTTTGAATCCCCGGTTGTACGTGGCAAGGAGTAGGGTCGCCTGTCCAACCTCGTGGGTTTTCTCCGGGTCCTCCGTTTTCCTCCCACTGCTAAAGACCCCTACGCGCAAGCGAATTATTGAAATAAAAATTAAACCATGTGTTAGTGCCGAAATGACCTAGTTTGTGTCGAGTGTACGTTAAACCCCATTTCTCTCTCTCTCTCTCTCTCTCTGGAGACTAATGTGTGCCTATGTATTACATGGTGAGATGGGAGACTATAGTTCCGTTTACACTTGGCCGTGATAAGCGTGCGGTTCTGGGCACAGTACCAGGCCGCGATAAATTTCAAGAAATTGACCCGTTTACAATTATGATGGTGGATTTAGTTTGAGCAGCCATTTTGACAGAACTGATGACAGAACTGTCAAAGTTTGCGGGGAAAAAAGGTCAAGGTTCGTTTTGCACATGCGCAGTTATTCGTAATGAGACCGTGCTCAGACCGGATAGCGTTTACACTAAGAAAATTTAACCTCGCCGCGCCTGGTACCGTGCCGAGACCACCTCATTTCTATGGTCCAGATTGGCACAGTACTCAGTACGGCTCGCTTATGTTTGACCCGTTTACACTACAAAAAAATTAACCATGCCGTGCCAGATGCCGACCTTTGCATGCTTAAAATTTGTAATGTAAACAGAGTTTATGTATTACATGGTGAGAAAGGAGACTAATGGTAAGAATGGAGACTAATGTGTGACTATGTATTACATGGTTAGACGAGAGACTAAAGGGGAGACTATGTAATAAATGGTGAGAATGGAGACTAATGGTGAGAATGGAGACTAAATGGAGAGACTGGGGACTAAATGGAGACAGGTGACTATATGATATTTGGAGAGGACTGGCGAGACTGGAGATTAAACTTTTAGACTTTTGGAAACACACAAAAAAAACCCAAGAGGCGTGTTAGCCAAATGGGTGTTCTTAGCATGCATCACCTCTTGAAATACATAGTACCAGGGGCAAGATTTGACCGAAACTCAAACTTTTTAAGAAAGCACCCTTTTCATTGGCTAAGATGATCAACAAAATACATGGTGTTGTGGGATGTTAGACCTTGACTTTGTGGAAAAGATAAACACATATTTGTACATTATCTATCGATATACATGAATGAATCAATCAAAAAGCTTTTTTGTCCCCCCTATTCATTAGCAGTCTAAATATTAAGGCCAACTGCAGATTTGGTCAAAGGTCACAAGCTGTAAACAGGGCTAGCGCTAACCCTAGACCTAACCCTAACCCACAATCTTGTCAACAATCACATGTCCTAGCCCTATTTACATCTTGCGACCTTGAAAAAACCTGCAGTTGGCCTTAATAGTTAGACTTTACCCTTCATTTAAACCTGCATTTCATTTGTTTTTTGTTTGCTTTACGATACCAAACATTGAACTTATCAATTTTAAAAATAACTCCATGTAACCATATTTTTTTTACAAGGAATTTAATCATGACTTTTATTTTGTATTTGGTGCGGGGTGGGGGGGGGTATGGCTGAATGGTTAGCGTGCGAGCGCTGTATCATAAAGCCTGTCATTGAGTCGACTGGCGTGGTTTCGAATCCCCGGTTGTACGTGAAAAGGAGTAGGGTCGCCTGTCCAGCCTCGTTTGTTTTCTCTTGGTCCTCCTGTTTCCTCCCACTGCTAAAGACCCCTACGGGCAAGCGAATTATGTAAATAAAATTAAACGA